ATACATTGGCTTTACAGCAAGAACAGGCGGCAAAGGATGTAAGCTTTGATCAACCACAGAAATAAACACAGACACACCCATGGACCTGGGACCTGCTGATCAAGTTTTGCTCTGGGGAAAATCACACCAACAAACTCACGTCCGCACACCATCTTCACCACAAACACAACTGAGCCTTGGCGGCTTCCGTCACTTTCTCCAAGACAGGAAAAGACTCCACGACCATGATCCCACTTCCTGCTGTGTCCTCACTACTTCTGAGCACACTGCTTATTCATTCATTCATTCATTCATTCATTCATTCATTTAGCTCCTGTCTGCTGAAATCACTCTAGGACTCTGAACTCTCCTATCTAAATAAACCTCACTTCTGTGAATCATTCCCATTGTTGCTGGGAACCAAGCATTCAACTTTTGGTGCATTCAGAAGTGTCTGGCCCATACCTCTAAATGAAAATGTCCTCAATAAATTGCTCATTTCCACAGTAAATAGCTTACATACAAACCCTACAGGTAAGTAAAAATATATACTTTAAAAGTCGTCCAAGTAAAGTTATTCTTTTAACTCCACTGTTAGGTGGGATTTTGCACTAGATGAACTTGAATTCGGACTAAATTTTGTATAAGAAGGGTGTAATGTGGTTAACATAGATGACATTTATACTCAACAAATCTACTTACTACTATCAAGTTGAGTTTTAAAAGACCCGTCCAAGACCACGCAGTGAGTGAGCCCAGGTCTGTCACTGACTCAGGGGCATCTAAATCTTCTACCGGACAGGCACCCGATGGTCTTGGGTGAGAGTCCCTGGGATGACTCTCAAACCAAACACCTAACAACACTGCTGAGCACCACGCGCACAAGAAAGAAATGGAGGGGAGCGTGTCATGGAGGAGCTCAAGGGAGACTGCGCCCCCAAGTACGTCCCTGGACTGCCTGCCACGGGCTGAGGGCGTGGGGTGGAATCAATCCCATGAGTGCCATGCTCTACGCTGAGCTTTGCAGACACTTTCCAGCATGACTTTTCTGTGTTTCACCTTCAGCTTCGAGCTGTTTGCAAAAGGGAAATCGCCTAACCGAGGAAGCAAAGCCGCTGTGGGAGCGTGGAGACGGGCTGCAGTGAGAAGTGTGTTGGGCTTCTTCAGCTCATACACAAACTCACCTGTAAATTCAGGGTGTTCCGCAAGAAATACCAATGCGACTTTCAAGCATTTAGAATCGAAGCTTCATAATGGGGTGGAAAATAACAGTGAGGGAACACGGGTACTTAAGTCTGACGGGAATGCGGGTGAGGCTATTAGCTGAGGGACCGACAGGTGGCTAGCCCTGCTCACTTGTGCGAGCCTGTACACTCAATTTTCAGCCCGGCTTTGTATTTCACAGGGTGAGTGTGAGTTCTATCTCTAGCTGCCTTTGACTGTAACAGTCAAGACTGCTATGGAAAAACGCTGCTAAGAAAACCTTGACTATAGCCCCCAACATCATATTTTATTTTTCTATTACACTAAAAATGCTGTAATGAAAATTTATTCTATGCTACTACGTGAAGAAATGTTTCAAATCCTTGGGTCAAAAACTTGGTGAAGTTGCTGTTTCTGCAACCTTTGGGAACACAATCAGAGTTGCTGTAAGCAAGTGCTCTGGAGACAGCTGAGCAGCACCCTGGCTTCTGCTCCATCACGTCTCCCAGCGTGTCCGGGAGCTGTGCCTGGACAGAGGACAGAGCTGTGGACCCACTCGGTGCTGCGGACCCACCCAGTGCTGCGGACCCACCCAGTGCTGCGGACCCACTCAGTGCTGCAGACCCACTCAGTGCTACAGACCCTGCAGACCCACTCAGTGCTGTGGTCCCACTCAGTGCTGCAGTCCCACTCAGTGCTGCAGTCCCACTCAGTGCTACAGACCCTGCGGACCCACTCAGTGCTGCGGACCCACTCAGTGCTGCAGACCCACTCAGTGCTGCAGTCCCACTCAGTGCTGCGGACCCACTCAGTGCTACAGACCCTGCAGACCCACTCAGTGCTGCGGACCCACTCAGTGCTACAGACCCTGCAGACCCACTCAGTGCTGCGGACCCACTCAGTGCTACGGACCCACTCAGTGCTACGGACCCACTCAGTGCTGCGGACCCACTCAACGGCACAGCCTCTGCCTACCTGGCACACCACTGCTCTCCTGTCTTCTCTTTCTGCCCTCCGTCCCGTGTATCTGTGGCACGAAAGGAACCCATTTGCCGCGAATGGTGTTTGTTTAATAACCCTTGCTAGATCACCGGAGGAATGACATGCACCTGAGAGGGTGCCTCAACCTGGAAGCGGGCTCAGGGTGATGCATGACTTCGTCGTCTCAAGACACTTGATGGGGCTGCAGCTGCAGCCATCCCAGGGCTGGCTTTTCACAGATGTAGACAGAGAGCACCACGGGCTCCGTCTTTGTGCTGCTGGGTCTGCTTTCTTTTTTAAGTTCTTAGTTTTACACTGCAGAGCTTGTGAGCCCTGAACTGCCTCAGCAGTCCACATGGCTGGAGGCCTGTGACTTTAAATCTAAGATCACAAAGTTGGCAAAAGCGATTCTTTAAGAACAGAAGGTGATCGTTTGCATTTCAAAATTTATCTATCTTGCTTTTCCCCTCAATTAGACCAAAACATGTTGATTCCCAGGTTTCTGCAAGTGTTTTCTGGTCTAAACTTATTTATAGAACAGAATAATGGCCCCCCTGCTAGTCTGGCATTTGCTCAAGTTTCTGTCCATGTAAATCGAATCTGTTACTGGAAATTTTTCTCAAAATATCAAGGCACACCGTCCACAAGATAAAAGGATACAGGCAGGTGGGCGAAGGCTTTAGGACAAACGGGTGCGCAGGGTTCCCGGGAAGGGGGAGGGGAGGGGCGGGGAGCTGTACAAGCGCCCTCTGACCTTCACTTTCGGAGCACTCCTAGGAGCTCATCCAGCTCCGGTGACTGGCTCAGGTCAGGGTCGGGAGAGGAGGGCAGTTACTGCCTGGTGACTGTTTACTGACCGCCATGTGCACATGGAAATACTGGCCCGTTAGCACTGCTCTCTCCCAGAGAGAAGGAAGACTGTCTACTCACAGGCACTGTGGCTGCTCAGTTCTAAGTGAGGCTCTGCAGCTCACTCCCCTTCGGATTACGAGGTGGAGGGCTGGCCTCTCTAGGCTTAGGTCACGTTAACTGGAAGGGGGAGAGTACTCCTGCTTCTCCTTGTCCCTAAAGTTGATCTGCCCAAGGGTTGGAGGGACTTCCCTGCTGCCCACACACTGAGCAGCTAAGCAGCTGCAAGGTGCCGTCCTTTCATGCAAACAATCACAGCAAAGCCTCTCTTTGGACTACAGTTTGGCTGCACACCCCCCCCCCCAAACACGACGAAGCACAACAACCAGGAAGAAGTCTGCGGAGAGGAGAGGGTCCGTTAGTGGTGCACTGCCACCTGCTGGCCAAACGTGGGGAGTGCTCTTCCCAGAGAAAGGAAGTCAGGTCTCGGAAGCTGGTAAAAAAGTATGTCAGCCCATGAAACCAGAGTTTACATGGAATGGCTCTATCCCATCACGTGGAAGCTCTCAGGAGCGGCCTTGATGTGCTCTGATGGCAAAATAGGCCAACAGCCACTTTTCAGAACGGAAGCCACAGCCACGGCATCTGGTACCAGCACACACCCACGGCATTCAGCTCTAACCCACACATCACACTGGACCCCACTTCAGGACGGAACACTTTACTCACAGGGTCTCCCAAGTTTAAGGTGGACCTAAAACTTCCAAATTCACTGCAATTAATAAACATATTCATGCTAGCTGGTACCAAATCAGAGTGCGGCACCTGTGAATGCAAGATCAATTGATGTCACTACACTTTTTTGTGTGTGCTCCATTAACTACATAACAGTATCCGCTCCCAAGCAGTTGTTTGGGGTACGAAGTTTGAGGATTTGCATTATGGGTTGAAACTCACCTTTCCTCAGCCAAGCTACTCTTAACAAGGAAGGTTTCCCTAGGGATAATAAGGCTCTTTCGTTCCTGATTACCATTTCCTAGGAAACCGAGCTAACTTAGCAGCAACACGAAGGTCAGCTAGTACAAACCAAAGACTACGCACCTAGTGAGTCCTGTCTGCTCCGCCGGCTGACACACCCGACAGTTCAGTAATGAGCCCAATGCTCACCTACGAGACTTGGTGCTCGAGATGCTGGAGGAAGCAGTGGATTTAAACAGAACCCGCCCGCACTGACAAGAGAGTAACCCAAGTCTAATCAAATGCTTTGCTGTGGCTGCCTACAGGGGCCCTAATGGCCACAGTGATACATCTTAAATATATGTTAAAACATAAATGGCAGGCAGTGGGTAAAGAGAGACTTCAGTCAGGTGTTTGGCTCCATGGGCCATTTTAAAGTAGGGGGAACATGTTTATTATGCTCTCGAATATAGAACATCTTAAAATGTGTTCTCAGCTTCCAGGGTAGTTCACCCCTGAAGGCACACTGCATCAAGAGAACACATTTTATCCACTGTAGCCTGGGGAATTTCACCCATATCTTAATAAAACCTAATAAAATTCACCCATGGGAAGAGGCTCAGGGGACATAAGGCCTTGCTCAAGACACTTGAAAGAACGCGACGAGTTTCAAGAGATACACAAATGCTTTTAACAGGCAGTGAGTGTGCACACATGTGCACAAGCATACACGCGTACACGCTCGCGCGCGCACGCGCACGCACACACACATGCAGTTCAAGAGATACACAAATGCTTTTAACAGGCAGTGAGTGTGCACACATGTGCACAAGCACACGTGCACACACACGCGCGCACACACACACACGCAGTTCAATCCCCCCACTTCTCTTCTTTGGAGGGCTGAGAGAACGGATCAGCAGCAGACCCGACACATTCACAAACTGCCAGTGAAAGACACAACTTGTACAGAGAAATAAGAGCCGCCGAGCCACCTTTTCAAGCGAAGCGTTTGAGGAGATTGCTCTAACCTGGGGCACAGTACATTCTCGCTATGGCATCGCTGTCACAGGAATCTTCAACCTCACTCCACCTGCTAAAATACGTTAGCTGAATGTGTCCTAAAAACAAAACGACAGGAGAAATCAAAACATTTTTCTCTTCCATTTTCTGCAGAAGCGAACTGTAATTACTCCTTTTGTAGCTAAAAACAGTATCATTAAGAATAATGGCATCATTAAGTACTAGAAGCTATTACTGGGGGTGAATTTGCCGCACTGATAATGAAGCTCTAGACAGGAAATGAAGATACTAATTACAAGATAAAACGCCTACTCAGTTAATTGGAAGCAACAGCGAATAAAAAGAAATGCATTTGCGAAAGTTCCTGACCTCCATCATTCAATAAGATGTTGTTTGGGTTCAGATCGCGGCACACAATCCCCTCTCTGTGCAGGGCATCAAGGGCTACCACCATTTCAGCTGCCCATCTCTGAACGCAGCCCTCCGGGATGAGGAACCTGGAGCTCGCTGCTAATTTCTTATCAAGGTCCTCAAAGATCTGATGGATTTCCTTCTCTCCTCCCAGGGCGAGCACACTTTGCTCCTTGGTCTCAGAGTCTCTCTGAAATAGAGGGCTCGGTTCCTCTTTGGCCTGCTCTGTGAACAGTAACACCTCCTCCACTGCGGCAGTGTCTGCGTGTGCACCGCGTCCCTTAGCACCCGAGTGTGCACTAGAAGCGTGGGGCGGGCTTTCTCCCGCGTCACGTGCGGTGACCGCGGCCTCAGCGCGCCCCAGCCCTTCCGACTCGGGATCCGACCTGGGCCACAGAAAGTGGCCTCCTGCGCTGCTGTCATCAACAGCCGTGCCTAACACCCCGGGACCTGCCTGAACCTGGTGCTTTGGAGTCACGCCACAGGGCAGGGAGCCAGCGGGGTCATCCGGTTCCTCCGGGTCTTCTTTTCCCGGGCCGTGGCACTGTTCGGAACTCAGCCGGAGGCATAGCACATCCGGGGCTTCAAACAGCTTGCTCTCCAGCCTGCCTGTGCTGGCCTGGGCGAACTTGGCGGGGTCGGCTGCTGAGGCCTCTTTGGTCGGCTGCGGCTCACCGGGAAGGTTCACCAGCAGGTCGGGCCTTCCTTCCTCTGCACCGCAGACGCCCTCAAAGGCTGCTTCTTTGAACGAAATGACGGGGACGGAGTCATCTGAGCCCCTGCTGATGGAGTCCTGCGCTTCTTCCGCCCCCCCCTCTCCATCCGCCAGGGTCAGGAGCGCTCTCAAGGGCTCTGGTTTCAGACCGTGCAATTTCTCGCCAAAATCCAGCCCCAGGAGTTCGCTTGTGCTGTCCTTACTGTCGATTCTAAAGAACTCCATCGGGCTGTTTTTCGACATGGTGAGGGAATCGGATGTCTGAGGGAAACAAGCTGCTTCGGGGTCCTCGTCTCCAGGGGAGAACTTGAGCTGCCGGCTAGGGCTCGGCCTGTCACCAGCAAGGGGACTCAGAGCAGCCTGGGTGTCGGCGCTCGCCCCTCCTCCAGGCAGCGCGATGGGCTCCTCGTTCAGAGACCCCAGGTCTATCTTTTCCTGCCCGTACTCGTTGCACAGCGTCAGGTAGCCGGCGGTGCACTCCTCCTCCGAACTGGAGCCCGAGTCCGGCCACCGGGGAGAGCTGTCCTGGCCATCGTCTTCCTGGTTGCTGTCCTCCTGAGAACTTGGAGTGAGACTGGTCTTCACCGGCAGGACCTGCAGCATGCCCCCCATGTCGCTCCCTCTGGACTCGAAGCTGCTGCTGTCCGGAGGGCTGGCGCTTGGCTGCTGCAGGTAAACGCGGTGAGGCACGCGGGGTTTCGTTTCCTTGACGTCAAAGCTTTCTTGCGAACTTCTGTTGAGAAATTTACTGATATATGACCAGAGTTTGCCACCTGTGAACAAATACAACAAAGAATTAACTTCTCCAAATTGGTAGATACTTTAGCCACTGGGGAGGGAAAAATAATTATCATAACTAGCCTAATATAATTCAATAAACTCATTAATATCAAAGATCCGATGTGTTGTCAGACAGGGATATGTAATAAAATGTGACGTTCTTCTTAGAGTTTACTACTGCTCAGTACTACTGCTCAGTACTACTACGAGTATGATACAAGCATGGCAATTATTTAAAAAATTACAACCTATTTCTTCCTGTAAAGGGAATTCATGGTAATCCCCACAAAGCTAGAATCTTTCTTCTCTTAGGCCCAAATCTGTCCATCAGAGACACGGGTGCTACTAAAACTGTACACTGTGTAAGTGATCAACAGTAGCACGCAATTTGGAAAATGCCCAGTCCAGAACTGGGGGAGCTGGCAGCTGGTACATAATTATGCTTTCCTAAGTGACATGTTACTTTATTTTCTTCTACCCCTGGAAAATGTCACGTGCTTTGTGCGGACAAATCCAGCTCCTGGGAAAGACTAGCTGGGCAGCTCCTCAGAAGGTGAGAACGCCGTTACAATGTGTTCTGTCACACACCTCTGGACCGGGAGCCCACTGACGTCACAGAACTAAACTAGGACCACAGACACCAAACGAACATGAACTAACCCAACATATCGCCTACAGTGCTGGCTAGACAGCTGCTTTACTGTCGATTTCTTCTTATTCAAGCATTACAAAAATCAGAATTAGAGAGGTTTTCTATCTAGAATCTTCATTTTTTAAAAAATCACAGACACCATGATGGATTAAACACTTAATAATTAAACATCATACCAAAGAAAACGTCATTAAATCTGGTACCAAAGTCTCAGGAAGTAGAGCTGCAAGCGCTTGCTCTGTGAAGACAGAGACAGCTTCCAGAACGGGGAAGAGGAACTAAGGACGGTTGAGAGGGCGCAACTTCCTGCCGTGTCTGATGGCCTGAGCCAGAGACCCACACAGGGGAGGAGAGAAGCAACTTCTGCTGCTGCCCTCTGCCCTCTGACCTCTGTGTGCACGCCACAATGTGCAGGCCCACACACACACAAGACATAAATGTAATTTTTAAAAGAATGAGGTAAAATAAGCCTCCCTACTTAGATGAAGGGGGTGAATTTTCAGATCAGTTTTCATTTGCTGTTGGGCATCATACACCAAGGGAGCTGGATCAAAACAAATAATCATGACCAAATGATCCCAGGTATAAAGTCCTCAAACCATTCAAGAAGCTTCTACTTCACAACTCACTTCAAGGACTTCAAGAAAGCCATAAATCACCTTACCCTGCTCCCAGAATGAAGAGCAGTGCAGTCTGTGACTGTCACAGTCCTCTCTCTCTCTCTCTCTCTCTCTCTCTCTCTCTCTCTCTCTCTCTCTCTCTCTCTCTCTCTCTCTCTCTCTCTCTCTCTCTCTCTCCCTCCCTCCCTCCCTCCCTCCCTCCTCTGAGCTGCCTGTGGATCAGGATGTAACTCAGCTACTGCTACAGCAGCATGCATGACACCGTGTTCACCACCATAATGACAATGGACTAACCTCTGAAACTGTAAGTAAGTCCCCAGTTGAATGTTTTCCTTTATAAGAGTTGAGCTGCCATGGTCATGGTGTCCCTTCACGACAATCAACCAGTGACTTAACACACTATTCTTGAAGGTCCTTCAGAACTTACTATTTTTTTAACCAACTTCTTTATACCACTTCAGCAGGCATGGCTGATGCTTTCTCTGAGCCCATACACTGGTACTTCCCTCTTAAACCATTCCCAACATTCTACGTCATGCTGCTACGACTCTTGTATACTATTCCATTTCCATGATCTCCTTTCAGACAGCAAGGTCTTTATAACTACAGACAGAGAATTCTACCTAGCATGTAAAACATTTAATAAATATTTATTAAACAGAGGTATAATGGTTTTCAAAATCTTTTGGTGAAAATGTCTATACGTACAGATTGTGTTATGTGTAGGGGTTACACACTCTTCCTATTTTATAACTCATATGTACAGATTGTGTTATGTGAGGAGTCATACGCTCATCCTGTTTTATAACTCATATGTACAGATTGTGCTATGTGTAGGGGTCACACACTCTTCCTATTTGATAACTTGTATGTGGTTTTACCACAAGATTCTTAGCAAATGCCAAAGGGGATAAGAAAAACAGGAGGCACAAAACCCCCAACACTATCTCTGCTCTCACCACCAAAGATAGACACTACTAACCATTCCTTTATTTTCAAGCTTTTAATCATAATTAACATGGTGCCACCAACATTTTCATAAGAAAATGAGTTTAAATGATTGTGCAGCACGGTCGCACAGCTAAATAATCCTTTGTTAGTGGATATTTGTATAGTCGCCAGTCTTTTACTGTAAGAATTATTTAAAATAACAAACCATCTGCCAACTCTAAATACATCATCAAGACAGGACCCCACAAGTGGCAGGGCTCAGTAAAGGAGGACAAAGGGCTCCTGTAGCCCAGGCTGGCCTGGCCTGGACCTGTCAGGTGTAAGAGAAAGCCATGAATTTCTATCCCCCTGCCTCTAGCTGGTGCACAGGCCCTGAAGTCACCACCATGCAACCGGCAGCTGGCTGGGAAGCAAGGGTGTTTCTAAGGTTCATGTGCGGACTGCTGTGGTGCTCAGGAAGAATCCCCGCCCCTGCCTATAACCCCACCCCCACCCCCTGCATGTAATGGACAACACAGCACCTCCTTCAGCAAGGGGTCTGTGCCAGACCTTAGCAATTAGCCATTTTATTAATCACCATGCCATCCCGTTTAATTTCCATTGTTTTCACTATGGGGTAACAATCTTAAATGTGACTGTTGGTGCTTTCTTTGTGGAACCTTCTGGGCTCACACAACTTCTTTAACATGAGGAGGGGAAGGGGCTGTCTGGGCTCCTCCAGCTTCCCTCGGGGCCAGTGCAACCTAGCATTCAGTGTGGAGCAGAGCTCGGTGCAGAGCCCGGTACAGAGCACATCCTCTCCTGAACTGCTCACCATGAATCCCAAAACCAGAACACATCATTCCTACATCACTGAGTGTGTTCTCCTTTCTTCAGAACCAAAACCAACTCTACCAAACAACTTACATACCCAAACATCAACATTATTACGACCACAACATTAACCTAAACAACTGTTGTCCATTAAATCTCAAACATGAATAGGGAATACCCAAAATATTGATCATTCTAGCACATCAAGCATATATGTGATACTTTTGAGCCCCTTTGAAGCATAGGAAATTGCAGTTATTGAACCATCTTCGGCTATAAAATAGCAATTCATAAAGTTTAATTAAACCCCTCTGCCTCTCATTTTAATTTATCGGTTTCCTGCAAGACTGCACAATAAATATGTGGATTTGGCTAAGAAGAATTAGAACTTGGATTTAACACAGATGATATCCTATTGTAATGGGAAAAGTCACCTTTGACCTGGGAATTCCCACATCAAGATATCTGCCCTACAAACAATTCTTAAAAAATGCAAAGATACATACAGGCAAGTGACAGAACAGTTCACAGAGCAAGGAAAGAGTTGTATCATGGGAAATGTGCAGACCCACTCTGCAGCCACGCATGCTCACCGCACACCTACCTCCCTGAGTGCTGTACCCATGTAGCAGTAATCTTCTGTAGGTCCTACTGAGCGCACAGCCACTATGTCTCTTTGCAAACAAAGAAACTGAGGCACAGAAAGGCTAAGCCATGTGCCCCAGGTCACAGAGCTGGTAATGACAAGACAGCACTCACACTGCCCAGTCCTCATTCTGTGTTCCAGACTGGCTTTGAACCTGTTATGATCCTCCTGCCTCAACCTTCTAAATGCTGGGATTATGGGCATCACTACACACAGAGAACATTAAGATTGAGATTGAGAGAGACAGAGAGAGACAGAGACAGAGACAGAGACAGAGAGACTCTCAAGGCAGGCCTGAGATGACAGGTGTGTGCCACCACACACATACATAATCTTTTATAACACAGCTCTGTAAGAGCTCAGAAAGGTGTCTAATGTACATTGCTAAGGTGACAAGCAGACCAGAAGCAACATGTAAGATCAGTTTACACTGAAACACAAAAACAGAAATAATGGGCACGGTGCCTCAGGCCTGTGGAGCTGAGGCAGGAGGATCACAAGTTCAAAGACAGCCTTGGTCACAGAAGGAGTCTGGTTCTTCAGACAGTGAAGGTGGCCCACGAGACATCATGGGCCCTGCTTCCCAGACTCCTACTGCTGCTCGCCCACCAAGCATACTCCTGGCTCCGGGCTTATGTACGTGTTCTCTCTTGCCAAGGCATTCTTCCCACAAACACGCACTGTCCTCTCGTCAAGTGCTCCTTCTCGGTTGGTACGGTGGCCAGCCGTGGGAACAGCTCCCCCATCCATCCCTTGACACTCTGCTCTCCCCGTTCTCTCCATCTGCGTGTGTGGTTGCTGTCTGCCCCCATCTAAAACACCGTGTGCTCCACACAGGCAAACTCTTCTGTGTTGCTTACAGCTGGGTTAGAACCACGTCTATGCCCCCAGAAAGCTCTCAAGAAGCCTGTAGCCGAATGAAGTAAAAACAGAGAGGGGGAGACTGCACATCCTAGCTGGTTCTGTTAGTTCTGGGCAGCCAAAACTGAGAGTCATAACTACTCTAAGTTCAGCAGAACTCTAACACTGTCATTATTTGGGGGGGGAGGGGACAGCTTACGGGAGCTGGCTCTCTCCTTCCACTGCGGGACTGTCACCACTTCCTCGTCCATGGAGGCACCTCAGAAAGGCCCACAGTGGGAAAACACACAACGCTATCTATCAACCAGTTCACTCCGCTGCTTGAGCCAGACCCGGGAAATGCACAAGGACCACACCATCGTCTTCTGCCCAGGCCCTGCTCGGCTCCTGGCTCCCTCAGCCCATCTGTGCAGGCCGGCTTTGTCAGCTTGACGTAAACCCTGACACAGCAGGGGCAAGGGGAGGTCACATGAGTGGTGGCCTCCAACAGACGGAGATGTAGGCCAGTGTGTGAGGTACTTACTTGATTAATGATTGATTTGGGAGGTGCAGCCCATTGTGGGTGGGGCCACCCCTGGCTGGTGGTCCCGGGTTCTATAGAAAGCAGGCTGAGCCAGCCCTGAGGAGCAAGGCAGAGAGCAGCACCCTCCACTGCCTCTGCTTCATTTCCTGCCCCAAGGGCCTGCCCTGTCGCCCCCTCCACAATGCACTATAAACAAAACATGTGAACCAAACAAACCCTTTCTTCTCCAAGCTGCTTTTGTCATAGCAACAGAAAGCAAACTATGACACCACTGCTACACAATAAGGAGTGACCTTTTTGGATTTGTTTGTTTGAGATCCTGTCTCATGTCACCTGGGCTGGCATCAGGAGTGGCCGTCTCCTGCTTCTGGGACGGCTGGCCGTGAGTGAGCTCATGGAGTGAGAGTGAGACCTTTGCAGGGTGAGACTCCTCCCACTTCTCCTCAGCCCTCAGCATCCCTGTCCTTCACCCACAGACACAGCCACAGTCTCCTTTCCCGTTCATCAGATGCCCTACGTCACGCCGTCCCTGTGCCTGAACCTTGCATGCAATGAACGGCAGGGGGTTTGCGACTCAGAACTCTTTTTAAATGTCCCCATTTCAGAGAGTCCCTTCATTGTGACCACTGGGTCACCCTGGGCTTGGGGTCAGAGTTGTGGCCCCACTCGTATCCAGTACTTTCTTGTCCTTTGTTTTCTCCTATCTGAGTCACAGCAGCAACTGAAGCTCCGGAAGGGTTAGCTCTTGCCATGTTTTCCTCACTGGAAACACAGCTCGCCATGCGGCGCACGCCCAATCAGTCTGCTAACAGCAAAAGAACTGGTATCTGCACTAACGTACGTAACATCGTAAAGACTAAAGGAGAGACTCCTCCTGGGTTTACAAGTCCATGGCAGCCTTCCATCTTGTTTCCGTTTGCTCACCCGCGGCCAACACCAAAGACATGGTCAAAACGACTTCCAAGAGAAGAAGACCGGATGTCAGTGGGCTAGCCCTGGACACCACGCTAAAGCAGCATCGGCGACAGCCCCAGTTCTGAGAGGCAGAAGGGAGACAAGCGTAACGGGGAATCGGGAGGAGGAGGAAGGCAAGCCACAAGCTGTGGAGGTAAGCGAGGGTCGGAGCTTTGCCACAGATAATCTCCAACATGAATAATCCACACCTGGTAATAGAATATTGACCATAATTACATTCATCCTACTGACCTTGTTCTAAATTATTATGGATTATTACTACGCAAGTTATTTTGTTCCACACCAGAGGTGGCTGTATTTTGCTATCAGATGACATGACCTCTAATTCAATAATGTCTGTAATGTACTGGTATCCTCAGATAAAAGCTGTCTATAATGTCTGAACAAAGGTGAATTAGTTATCCAATTCACACACACAATTAACTCTCTTAATACCTGCGAGACCATGGAGCCCCTCTGAATTTCCTATTAAACACTGCATATGGAGGTCTTCCCTCCATCTGTAGTTATCTTGTGTGGACTTCATAATAACAACATTAGTACTTTATTACCCCATCAAAAATCTTGCATTAGCTACCATGAGAGACCTCATTCCAGAAAGCAGTGCCTCTTTTTCCCGGGAAAAAGGTATTAAATTCAAATGTTATGCCTATTAGTAAAATAAAGTATTGTATTTTCTATGTAAAAGTAAGACACCTTCATAAAATGTGGGAAATAATTTAAGTTTTTTTCATTATTTTAAGGACGCCTGTTTAGACACCAGAAGGCAATGTTAAATGAATTCATATTTACATGCTGTGGTCACCTAAATAAGAGGCTATTTATTTAAATTCAGGCATGAACAGGGAAAACCAAACCAGTACAGTACCTTCTGCCACCTGTTCCCTAGGAAGGGGCTGAAGGCAGAGCCCACGCCTCCGCTTTGTACTCACGTGAGGCGCCCGTGGCTGTGTGCGTGAGGCTCAGATCAGAAAAATGAGACAATGTCAAATGTTAAGCAAACACCCTTGCCTCCCTGTAAAGGAAGCAATTAATTAATTCTGCAGGGGATGCTTTTTTAGTCATCTAACGTAAGTGTAGCTTTTCAGTGCAGACAAGGGAACAGAATTAAATCTCTAAATAAAACCCAGCTCTCTCAGCATGCATTCACAGTAAAGTTCTCATCATGTCAGTTAATTCCAGAGCAAAGTGCACACATTAGGATTGTCCCACGGTTCAGGTGCAGCTGGCTGGTCATCTGGGTTCTCCTTTCCTCTCAAAATTCACAGTAAGGAGGGTGAGCAGGAGTGAGGAGGCAGGTCCCCATCTCTGTGCTGACACGGGTGAGCAGGAGTGAGAAGACAGGTCCCCCATCTCTGTGCTTATGAAATGACATGGGCCAAGCATCACCACAGACACTGGAGCACAAGACAGGTGACATGACGCCTGCACGCGGCCACGGTCAGACCGACCGACCGACCCACCTTCGGCATGCTGCAGCACAAGGAACACGGACTCCTCCGAGATGATGTACTTGTGCAGACACACCATGTTGGGCACACAGCGGGGGATGATGGTCTTCCTGCTCCTGCTGCACTCGCTGCTTTTCCTTAGACCCTGACAGAGAACAAAAAGGTCACTTGTACCCACAGTTGCCTTTGGAGCCTGCTGCGCTCAGTGTTTATCAACCACGCTAATCTATCCGAGTTACTCGGGCTTCAGAGAAACCACTCATCTGCTGCTCTGTGCCCCTCGGTCCCTGGAGGCTCCGCTGATGGCATCTGGCGTGAATCCAGACAACAGAAGATGCCACAAAGCTGCCATTAAAATCAATTACGTGGGTCAGTGTTTTTATTAGCGATGCTCTCAAACTAAGTCATCAGGATGACATACAGTGATTTCTCTGTGACCTCTAAGTTTGATTTTCCTTATGTACAACTTTAACCAGTTTGAGTCACATTCTCAGACACCAGACATGCCCTGGATGAAGCAGCAACTTTTAAATTCAATTCCAAAACACGACCGACTAACCTCCAGAAGGACGAAACTTATACATTTCCTGGTGTTACACCTGGTTTTAAGCCTGGGTAAATGTCGCTAGGTATGGTAGCATGGGATGTTCAGAGAGAGAGGCAGGCTTCACACTTGTCAATGTGACCGCCTGTCACGCTAGACCAGCAAGAGAAAGGGGATGCCCAAGACAAGCAGCTTCCTTTTTGGGTGCCATGGGGATGTTCAGTCACGACATACTGGAATACATACTATCATAATCCCTTACAAAAAACGACTTCAAAACTGGAGTTATCCTTTTAATTATTACTGAATTCTCACCAAGGAGCAAGCCAGAACCCAAGGAGACCCAGTGTGATCCTCACGAATCTCAACAGACAAAACCTGAAGGCTCTTGGCTCTCGGGTGCATTAGAATCGCACACTCTTTAACATATAACTTTCTACATAGAAGCTATGACATGTTGTTGACTGTGTGAGATAGATCACCATGACATAAAACACTCAGATGTCATGCAAAAATATTACTTTTTCTTCCAAAAGCATGTTTAAGTTTTTGAAAGTCATTTTTTAAATTCACTAAACATCCAAATTCTACTTACTTTTAAAATGAAGGTCTGTTCTGTCCTTGTGTCCATTACAAGTAAAACCTACACAACAGACACAAGCAGTTAACAAAATATAATAAAACATTAACTCTTTAATTTGAGAAACTAAGAGTTGGGGTGGGATTCTGACGCTCACCCAATATCTGGATAGACTTTCTAAGAATCTTAATTCATAGGACCCAAACAGCCTTGTCCAAAATAGATCTCATTACAATTTCCCTTTCTAAAAAATGCCACAGCATAGAAACATCACTGCGCTTCCTGGATTTATTTTTAAAATGTCTGTCTCAAAAGTACAGGCCACCGCCAGGCGAGAGGACAAGCGGCCGGTGCATCTGGAAATCGGTGGCTGAGGGGCAGTGAGAACAAAGCCGGCCTGGGAATTCTAGGTCAGCCTCAGAGCAGGGAAACCCCGATCAAGATGGCGGTAGTGGGGGTGGGGAGCGGACAGTCAAAGAGTTTTCTCACGTTGCAAACGGGACATAATTTACTAAAATTGATGAAGTCTCAACTTTCTTCTAAAATCGCTTAGCAGCCCACTTAACGTGACCTCGGTAGCTGAGCCTTTATTGCCATCTCGGGCATCCGTAGGGTGCTGCACCAGAACTTACCTCCTCTTTTCCAAGTCAGCACATCCTGCTGACTCGACCCTCAACCTCTGTCCTGCCCCGCCCCTCCCACTAATGCCCCCGACCCACCCAGGGACCAGCTCTGCCCCTGCCCTGCTCCCCTCTGCGCTGCACAGCTCTGCGGGCCTCATGGCAGCCAAGGCTTTGTCTTGTGAGAGCAGTTCACCGTGTCACTCTGGACCATCTTACACGCGGCCCATTTGAATGTGGCCACCCCTGCTACCCTGGGAGAAGGAAACAGGGACAGATCCCCCCACAATTATATGGCTTATTTTTTGCTAAAACTATGGCAGAGATTAGGCCGCAAAGTCCAGTTAGCAAATATTCAAGGCTTTGCAGACCCCTAAGTGTCGCAAACGCACCGTCTTAGCCCAGCAAACAACCACAGCGTCACTCCGGGGAGAATTTATACCACAGAAATCAGCAAACACTGCAACTGGGACTTTTCTCCTCAGAGAGCTGGCTGACAGAAGCCAGCAGCCCCCACGTGATGAGTGGCAGCCGGCAAACGTGGCCGGTTCAGCATGGAGCTGGAAGGGGAAGAGACGGGGCTGAGGTGGGAAGGCAATGCTGGAGGCAGCAAGTCCCATCCCAGACACAAACGTCACAGAATGCCGTGACATCTTCTCCAGCTCACAATCTCCTGGGCACCTGAGCTGCATTGTTTAAGGCAACCTGTGTCCTGTGTCACACAGAATGTTATTCACACAGATACCTCCCGGATGTCCTGCAGAGTTCCCAACCCAAGCTCTAGGTCTCTCTCAATTCTCCAACCGCAGCATCAGCAGCCAAGCCAAGGAGGCAACTGCACCCCGAGCTCTTTTGACGCCTCCCACCTACCTCGGTTAAGCATTTGCTACGTCAGCCATGGGTAATCAATGCTAATCCTGTCAACAACCATTCCTATTCCACACATGGCCGACACTCTGCACGTGACCCTAGGATGACAGAAGACAACGGCGCCACCATACATGAGAATCTCTCTGAGATGACCTCACAAGTACATCAAGGGCCATGACTGCTATCACCTTAGTGCAGCTTTTCTCTGGAATGTTCTCCAAGCCACTTATCACACAGCTACTCATCTTTCCACATTCCACTCAAATCTCTCTCTCTCTCTCTCTCTCTCTCTCTCTCTCTCTCTCTCTCTCTCTCTCTCTCTCTCTCTCTCTCTCTCTCTCTCTCCCCCCATGGCTCTCCCTTTGCAATCCCATTTCACATGGTACTAGCTTCTATTATGGCATCTCAAACTCTACAATTTGGTTTTATTTTTTATTTGTCATCTCCCGACCAGATGTCAAACTTCTTAAGGGCATGTCACAGACAGTGTCATAGTTCCCAGGAATGATCATAACCCACTCCAGCCTCTGTGGGTGGACTGTGCTACGAAAGAAAGGACTTGACAGATGTAATTATTGCAGAGCTGACACATCACTGGGTTGTCTGGGTGGGTTCTGCTGAGTCACATGAACTTCTAGAAGTGAAGACTAAACCCTGACAAAAAGATGGGAAGCACAGAGTGATGTATGTAATAGGGGGTACTTTCTATCATGAGAGGGACTACCTGGCTAAGATGTGGAGTCACCCACACAGGCAAGAACCATAAGGACACATCTAGAAGCTCAGAGAGAGTCCAGAAGCAAGCGCAGCCCTCCGCTGACCACAGCAAGGAGACTGTTCATTCCAACAACGGCAGAGGCAGCAGCCGGTTAGCGCGTGCACGTGGGGAGAGGCCCTCCACAACCACAGTGAGGAAAGCAGCGTGCCAGGCAGGAGGCCTGCGCCGTGCCTGTAACATACACAACTCTAACACAGTAAGCTAACTGTCTTCAGACAGCCATGCCTGTAATATACACAACTCTAACACAGTACGCTAAGTGTCTTCAGACAGCCATGCCTGTAACATACACAACTCTAACACAGTACGCTTAGTGTCTTCAGATAGCTAAGCCTGCCATGATTGTCTATGTGATAATCGGGTGGAATGGTGTTTCTGCTTTGACATAGGAAATCCGTAAGCACGAAGCTAACAGGGTCAAGTCTAAGAATGCAGCAGGTGGACAACAACGTGGGAATGGAGCTTGGAAACGGAGTCAGGACCCAAGACTTATAACTGAGCATTCCTCCTCACAAAGACGCAACCTCAAGGCATGAGAGCAACCCCACTGGAATTTCCCCTCACATCCTGCACCATACTGGGCTTCGCAGAGTTCAATCATGGAATACTCTTGACTGTAGCTGGATATTTTCCTCTGTCTCTCCCACTCCCATTGGACCAGTTTCTCTCCTGCCCACTGGGTCCCCGAATCTGCATATGAAATACCACTCTGGCCAATGGCTCAGACCTACTACTGGCTAGCTCTCTCTTACAAATGATTTTCTATTAATCTGTGTATTACCACGAGGCTGTGGCTTACCAGTAATGTGCTGGCATGTCACCCCTTCAGCGGCTACATGGCATCTCTTCAGCTCTGCCTTCCTTCTCTCAGAATCTTTGTTTGGATTTGCCACCTAGCTATATTTTGCCTGACCATGGGTCAAAACAGCTTTATCCATCAACCAATAAGAGCAACACACAGAAGGACATCCCACATCACTCAACATCCCAAACAAGTGTGCATTGCTAATCAACAAATTTCGAAGGTGAGAAAACAACTGTAAAATATTAAATGACCCTGCTCAAAAGAGCTACCAAGCAAAGAGGGGGACTCTGCACAGGGACAGTGCGCTCCAAGCGCCCCCACTCTCACGGCTTACGGCCCTGCGCACGAGCAGACAACATGCTGTGACACAGGAATTCAGAAAGCTGTGTGCACTGGGGACACTGAGCAGGTATGAAAGCAGCAAAGAGACAAAAGGCGCCCAACAAGGGACGAGCAATGCAGATGTGAGACAGAGCTGTAAGGCAGGGGGGGGGGGGAAGCCACCCATTCAATAAACAGGAGCTACCATGAAGGACTGAGAACAGAAACACTGGACAAGGCATCAGGAAGTCACAGGTCACTGTCATAGCTGCACAAGACAGAAGCCAGGTGGCTCCCCATCAGTCAGATGAAAGAGACCAGGGGTGACAGACCTGACCCTTTCAGGAGCAGAGAATGGCAGAAGACACTGAAAGACAGGGCACAGTGGGCCCTGAGTTCACACAAAGGTTCGGGCTCTCGTTACTTACACACGGGGAGACCTGTCCCTTCCTAACTGCCTGCCAGCAGGGCCACCAACACATTCTCCAGGAAAAAAAAAAAAAAAGGCTCTCCAAGGAATGGAAATAAACTCATAGCCCTTGACCCTGAAGGTGAATCACACAGTTGCCCCCTCCCCGTGGAAGGTGACGCGCAGCTGTGGGCTCTCTCTGTGGAGGCATCTGTACCCTAGCGTCTCTTCTGGTTTTACATCAGCTTACAACTCTACGTCACTCCCTAGAGAGCCAATCCTAGGCTCTCTGTTTGCAAAGTCACGTTTGCTTGAGATGGGGGACATCTCGGGGTGAAGGTAAGGCCAGAGAACTTCACTTCCTTACCAGAAGCCACCGGCCTGACAGACAGAGTGACCCGCGGGGATGAAGCCTGAACAGATCCCACAGAAGGACAGATGAGATGGACAGACGTGTCGGGAAAGCGGAGGGTTGGTGCAGGCCTCCTGCTCCTACCAAGTTTGTCTGCAACTCGCCAGCGTTCACATTGGGGTAACAAACACAAAAACATGTGTGGTTTTTTTTAAATGTGCCCTTTGACTGTCAATTTCTCCCAAGCAGGTGTTGCCTAAATGATTATAAATTGGCCTCTGGGTACACCTCTTCAACTGAGCCATATAGGGCTGGTGATAATATAATTAGACCTAAAAACATCAGGCTGGTGAGTACTCTCCATCTGTTTGGCGATAATGTTTAGTTAACAGGAGTCTTTAAAAGAAACACCTTCAACTTCCATTCTTAAAGTTATTTATAGCTCCATTCTTAACACCCCAGCACTCCTGCTAACAAGAGCTTCAGCCACTTGGAAATTATTAGCCATACGCTGTACACAAAGAGAAACGGCTGCATTTAACATCTGGATCTCCTCACGTTTACACGCTGCAGCCTCACTGAAGTCGAATCCTTAATGAACAGTAGTATGGCATCAATATCATAGGCGCGCTCGGGCGGGCGGGCACACAGAGATCATAAGGAGCCAGGCATGCTTTTAGTGCCAACAGTGGCCAATCTGTAATGAGCTGTCAGCATAAAGGACAAAAATAACAGCGTCTTTAACCCTCAAACTGGGTTTGTTCATCTGTAGACGCAATTTTAAAACTGCTCATAGGTTTGCTCACCTTTGTAAAGACAAAAATCTAATTTGTACTAATTTGATACAATTGTCTTTCCAATAAAAGGCTCCTAAAACCATCTTTTATTGCATGATAAAACAAGTACTA